TCTTTCCCTCCCTCCCCAGGGGACGAGGAGGGGGAGGAGCCACAGCCAATGGAGGGAAGAGAGGCTTTGCTCTGTAGCTCCTGTATGATTTAGAGAGCCTGGCAAAGCAAGCTGTGACACAGAAGGAAGCAGGAGAGTGGGAGAAGGAAGCAGATGAGAGCCAATTGCTTGTGGGCTGGATCCGAGCCCTGTGGGGGTTAGATCTGGCCCACAGGCCACATGTTTGACACTCCTGCTGACCAATTAAATATACATTAAAAACCAGTACATTTAAGAACAGTACACACAGACATACACAAACACAAGCAATTGAAAACAAACAAGCAGGAAGGTCAGTAAGAAGACAGTGATCAAGAGTGACAGACAAATCTCCTTGGAGATGGGATTCCATTAATTTTGGTGCCACAGTTGAGAAGGCCCTTTCTCTGGTTGCCACCTGTCTAGCCTCAGATGGCACTGGCACCCAAAGCAGGGCTCCTGAACATGAATTAACAGACAGGTAGGTTCATATAGAAGTGGGCAGTTTTTAAGTTTTATAGGTTCCAGGCCATTTAAGGCTTTAAACGTTAATGTCAGCACCTTGAATTGATCCCAGAAGAAGCCTGGAAGCCAGTGCAGATGGGCAAGACTAGAGTGATATGATCCCTACAGCGGACTCCAAACAGCTCACTGAAAGATTCCATAGCATCTGTACTTTTTAGATACTCTTCAATGGCAGACCCACATAGAGTGGATTCAGAAATTTAATCTAGGTGTTATCAGGCATGTACCACAGTAGCAAGATCTTTCGTAGTCAGGAAAGGCTGAGGCTGGTGGAAGGCACTCTTGGCTACCATTGCAACCTGTCTATCCAACTGGAGGACCAACTCAGCAGCAGCTCACACTGTGAACCTGCTCTTATAGGAGGAACACAACCCCATCCAGTACAGGGAACTCCTTAAACCCACGGTCAGGCCTTCTGTCCAACAGTAGCACCTCCACCTTGCCAGGATTAAGCTTCAGTTTCCTGGCCCTCCCAGCCCAAAGCTGCCGCCAGACATCAATTCTAAGATTCCACAACCTCACTGGGATTCAGTGGAAGTATGAGATAGGCCGAATGTCATCTACATACTGGTGACAACTCATTCCAAGTCTTCAGATGACCTCTCCCAGCAGTTTCATGTAGATATCGAAAAACATGGGCGACACAAGCAACATCAGCTTATTTTGATGTAAGTATATGGCAAAGCCTGGCAAAGCAAGCTGTGACACAGAAGGAAGCAGGAGAGTGACACACAGAAGCTGTGACACAGAAGGAAGCAGTCGAGTCCGACTCTAGGGTTGCGGTGCTCATCTCCGTTTCAAAGCCGAAGAGTCAGCGCTGTCTGAAGACGTTTCCGTGGTCATGTGGCTGGCATGACTAAACACCAAGGCGCACGGAACACTGTTACCTTCCCACCGAAGTGGTACCTATTTATCTACTTGCAATTTCTTGCTTTCGAACTTGCATCGAAACAGATGTCTGTAAACCACAAGCATTTGGCCTACTTCCAAATGGTATCTGCACATGGAAGTCTTGTGTGAAGCAAAAGCCATTATCTGAAGAAAACTAGGCATCTCAGGAAGACTTTGGACATTCAGGTCATGGAAGAAACAGGAAGAATAAGCGAGCTCATGCATCACACCTATTATAACACCCAAAACAGGGACCTGCATCTGAACTTTTGCACATCTCTCTGTGGCAAAGATATAAGGCTCCACTTAAGACACTAAATTGATTTTAAAAAAAAAGCATGACCTAATTATGTATGCTTCCCCTAATAGCCTGAAGCTGCCTCAGTAACTAACTAGAAAATAACTAGTTAGAACAGGGGTGTCAAACATGCAGCCCGGGGGCGGAATCAGGTCCTTGGAGGGCTGCAATCTGGCCCACAAGGCCCAGGCTGTTTCCTGCTTCCTTTTCCAGTTCTGCTGCTGATGCTACATCACAGTTGAACATAAGAACATAATAGAAGCCAATGTTCGAAACAGATGTCTGTAAACCACAAGCATTTGGCCTACTTCCAAATGGTATCTGCACATGGAAGTCTTGTGTGAAGCAAAAGCCGTTATCTGAAGAAAACTAGGCATCTCAGGAAGACTTTGGACATTCAGGTCATGGAAGAAACAGGAAGAATAAGCGAGCTCATGCATCACACCTATTATAACACCCAAAACAGGGACCTGCATCTGAACTTTTGCACATCTCTCTGTGGCAAAGATATAAGGCTCCACTTAAGACACTAAATTGATTTTAAAAAAAAAGCATGACCTAATTATGTATGCTTCCCCTAATAGCCTGAAGCTGCCTCAGTAACTAACTAGAAAATAACCAGTTAGAACAGGGGTGTCAAACATGCAGCCCGGGGGCGGAATCAGGTCCTTGGAGGGCTGCAATCTGGCCCACAAGGCCCAGGCTGTTGCCTGCTTCCTTTTCCAGTTCTGCTGCTGATGCTACATCACAGTTGAACATAAGAACATAATAGAAGCCAATGTTGGATCAGGCCAATGGCCCATCCTGTCCAACGCTATGTCACACAGTGGCCAAAAATACCAGGTGCCATCAGGAGGTAAAGGAGTGGGGCCAGGACACTAGAAGCCCTCCCACTGTTGCCCTCCCCCAAGCACTAAGAATACAGTGCATCACTTGCCCCAGACTGAGAGATCCTATCTATACCTTGTGGCTAATAGCCTCTGATGGACCTCTGCTCCATATGTTTATCTAATTCCCTCTTGAAGCCGTCCATGAAATTACCAGATTCTCTCAATCACCCAGGAGAGATAGATAGGCAAGCCTCTCCTGGGTGATTGAGTGAGTATGGTAAAGCACTGGCTGAGGCTCCTGTCCCACCCCCTCCCAGGGGGAGGGAACCAGCCATAGGTCACTTCCCGGCCAGGCTGCCTCAATCGTATACAGGAGACAAAGGGGAACCTTTCTTTCCTTCCACTGGCTGAGGCTCCTCCCTGAAGGGAGGCAGGGAGGGAGGGAATAAGGGAGAGCTTGCTTTAGGGAGGGAGGGAATAAGAGAGAGCTTGCTTTGCTGGGCTGCCTCAATCGCACAGCAGAAATACCAGACACCTTTACGACCAACACAGTTTTGTTCAAGGTATGAGCTTTTGTGTGCCTTGCTACAGTGTGTGTATTCTGTTGGGCTACTTATGCTGTGTTTGTGTTTTGTTAGGCTCCTTATGCCAAGGCTGTCCTGGGTGCAACTGGATTCCCTCGCCCTTTTCACTGTGTCCATGCCCTCATGATCCAGTCTTTCTCAGTAAGAAAGCAATGTGAAAGTTAATTGCGTTTGTCTGTGTCCTTTATAAAGTTCACCCCCTCCCAGGGGGAGGGAACCAGCCATAGGTCACTTCCCAGCCAGGCTGCCTCAATCGTATACAGGAGACAAAGGGGAACCTTTCTTTCCTTCCACTGGCTGAGGCTCCTCCCTGAAGGGAGGCAGGGAGGGAGGGAATAAGAGAGAGCTTGCTTTGCTGGGCTGCCTCAATCGCACAGCAGAAATACCAGACACCTTTACGACCAACACAGTTTTGTTCAAGGTATGAGCTTTTGTGTGCCTTGCTACAGTGTGTGTATTCTGTTGGGCTACTTATGCTGTGTTTGTGTTTTGTTAGGCTCCTTATGCCAAGGCTGTCCTGGGTGCAACTGGATTCCCTCGCCCTTTTCACTGTGTCCATGCCCTCATGATCCAGTCTTTCTCAGTAAGAAAGCAATGTGAAAGTTAATTGTGTTTGTCTGTGTCCTTTATAAAGTTTATATGTCCGCTACCTGGCATTACATTCTATGACACACATGGCCCGGGCCAACAAGGTCTCATGTCCGATCCGGCCCTCGTAACAAATGAGTTAGACACCCCCGAGTTAGAAGCTGTTAACCTACATATGTAAGAGCCGTGAACATACAAAGAGAAGTGTAATTCGTGCAAGTTGCATATTTTCTCAATAGATCATACACAGAGGATCAATTCAACTTTTATTATTGATTTGATTATATGCATTGTATTTTTTTATTTGATTATATGCATTGATTTTATTATATGCATTGTATTTTTAAAGGAGGCTGTAAATGTGCTGGCAGTTCTGGGTCCTGAATGCAGGAGTGTGTAATCTGGGTAGCAAATTGTTTCTACAAGCATACCTCCCCCATACAGCCCCATACACAAAAAAATAAAAACCGAGGATTGGAGGTGGAGGGAGTCAGCCTCAGAAATTAGCCCTGGTCACGTATGTACCTACTTAATCCCGGAAAACACAGAGCAATGCATAAGCATTAGTTCAGGGTCCTAAGTGGAGATTTTGTCCTATCTTATCCTATTGGTTTTCTCTCTGGGAAGTTATTAGGAGGAATAAGCCACTCTTCAGTAAGGAAAGAATCTTAAGGAGATGGCAGAAATGTGTATTGAAAGCCCAATTCCGCCCCCAACACATACACACACCACTTGCATTCTCTGATATGCATTCTATGGGTTCAGTTACTTCTTTCCTTCAGTTACAAACCCAAAGCGTATTCAACCTTCATTCACAAATGAAGGAATCTCTTGGAGCACACATTCACGGATTCTAAATGCCCCATCCCCACAATGCCATGGTGTTTAGCACCCATACATTTAAGTTTTGCTTTTCATTAGCTCATTTTCTTAATTCATTAGCACCATAAGGATATAATACTTCTGTACCATGTTAGAAATTGTCTGGCTAGCTTTCACAGCTGTTAATGATCTTACAATCTCAAGTAAATTAGCAGTGCCTGTCACATCAGACATGTTTACACAGCTAAAAATGAAAATGGCTTCCACTCAAAATAAGCTTCCAGTATTATGAAACTGCTTAACCAGATACTTGAAAAACTAATGAATCTATTTTGTATAAGTATTAAAAACTAAGGAAATATTGCATAGCTACTTTTGCTTGCATTTATAAAAACAAACTCAAAAATTCTACTTACATTAAAAAGTTAGCCTGTGTGGCCTTTACTTTTACACTATAGAAATGTGTTCTACAAAGTGTTGCAAAAAAAACACTGAACCGAACTTTTCCTGGAGAAACTCTGTGATGCCATACAATATTTTTATGCAACAGAACAAAACACATTTTAAAATCACTTCAGATGTGTCTTTTCATCAGTTCTATTCTGTAAAGAGACTTCAGCTGTAAAAATATCCTGCCCTTTCTAAGTATCCTGGCCCCACTGCTGGACCTCCTGATGGCACCTAGTATTTTTGGCCACTGTGTGACAGAGTGTTGGACTGGATGGGCCATTGGCCTGATCCAACAGTGGCTTCTCTTATGTAACAGGTCCAGCTTCCGGATGCCTGCCTGTAGTATGCAGCATCAAACCTGATACATGCACAAACTCAGGTCTCTGACAAGTACTTGGCAAAATGTCCAATCAGACACTTGAAATATTAATTTGTGTACACTCTCAGCCAGAGGTGAGACATTTGTTTGTGACATTAAAACCTTAGCTTATAGTTTGTCTCACCATGAAAGACAATCATATTACGAGCAACCACAGTTACTGCAATAAAAGTCGAGGATATATAAAACCATATACCTAAAGGGAACCACTCCTCAATACAGGAACAATAAGTAATTAGACTGAAAGTCTGGTGCAATATGGAAGTCTTGGATATCAATTCTGAATATGCCCATTTACTTTACAAATCAAGATGAAACTGGCAATAGGAAGCACCGGCACTTATACAGTTAGAATCCTCTAACTGCACAAGTTCATACAGCTATCTTAATACTGGCTTTGCCAAGATACAATTAATTTATTTTTTCCAGGAGAAATCTTTGAATGCCACCTAATATTTCACAAGAGAACCAGCCGGAAATGGGAAGGCATTAGCACACAGCACCTGCATGTCACCTTCTTCACATTCTTTTTTGTATTTTCTTGGAAGAGTCTCAACTTCCCTAATGTCTTCCATGGTAACTTGCTGAGGAAGAACCTCAAACAAGGATGTCAAGTACATGATAATGGATTTCTTGTCAGGAAGTTGTACAGCAACATCTGAAAAATAAATGTTTATTGGATGTTCTTATAAGTGATTATCGCAAAATCATGCCCAGCGCACAGAACTACTTTTACTTATTCCGTTACATTTATGTTGAAAATACCTTGCATCACCAATATCTATAAATATCTATAAATGTTCTAGTGGGCTGCTGTGTTATGTGTCATCTTCACCAACAACTTACAGTTATCAGTGCGGACCTAACACATTTTTCTACTAATGAAAATGTAGACATAAACTCCCCTCCCACCATAACATTATTTCAGAATATTGTTTTATCACCTTTGATTGATACTTGAGGAATTTAGAAGAGAAGACTTTTTTTCACTACTTGAATCAGCTTATCACAGATTAGTTAGTATCATTAAGACGATTAGGGAAATTCTATCAGCTAGTTACAAAACCTCACAGATTATGATGAGTTCACATAAATAACATGCTATATGCTTTTTCAAAGATCCTAAATTATCTGGATGCACTGTAATAGAATACTGGAATCCTACTTACATAGAAAAGCAATCTCAGATAGTACCATGTATAAATGCTGGTATCATATGTACACAACTACTAGGTAGCTAAAAATAAAGCAAATAGTGTAATATGAATACTCCACTGCATAGTATTATACTGTACCTTCAGGATCTAATAATTTTTCTATCCCCAGATGATTTTTAGCTATGTTGAAGACATGCTCTAGTCTTTCAATAGGGGGCATTTTAGTTACTTTATCCCAGCTAAATAGCTCAGGCCTGAAAAAAAAGAACATGGAAATAAAATAAGAAGCAAGTTCATAAACCTAGTAATTACAACCACAACAAAAATTGTTTCAATAGTACTTGGAATGCTCAAAGTGATTTACACACATCATAAGGACGTAAAACCAGCCCTGCTGGATGATGTGCCAGTCCATCTAGTCCAGCATCCTGTTTCACACAGTGGCTAACAAGTTGTCCTGAAGCAAATATGCCAACAAGCACAGAGGCCAAAGCCTTCCCTTGATGCTATCTTTTAGCACTAATATTCAGAAGCTTACTGCCTATGAATAAGTTTTCCTTTAGTCACTTATGGCTAGTAGCCATCCTCCATCGATCTGTGAATTCCCTTCTAAAACCACCTCTGCTCATGGCCATATGTGTTCCACCATCCATTAGCACTGAATTCCAGAATACAATTATTCGCTGAGTAAAGTGCTTCCTTTAGTCCATCCTGAATCTATTGCCATGAATTTTACAAGGTGCCTGAGTTCTAATATTATGGGAAAAGGAGAAAAAAATATTTCTATCCACTTTCTCTGTACCATACATAATTTTATAAGCTTCTATCATGTCGCTCCTTAGTCATTTTTTTCTAAACTGAAAAGTCAGACGCTTCAACCTTTTCTCACTTGAAAGGTGCTCCAATACCCTAACCATATTGACTTCCTTCTCCTGAACTTTTTCCAATTCTGTAATACCTTTTTTGGGAGACCAGAACTTTACACAGTATTTGAAATGAGGCTGTTACGGAGCAGAGGCATTACAGTGTTGGCTATTTTCAATCCCTTTCCTAATAATCATTAATAATCCTTATGGCAGAGACCCACAAGATAGGTTAGTAGTATTATCACTCCATTATACCTGAGGGACTGAGAGAGTGTCTAATGCCACCCTAATGAGTGCATGGTCGAACAAGAATCTGAACCAGAGACATCCCACACAATGGCTTAGAACAAGTATACCAGATCATTATGTAGCAGTAAAAAAGGGCAAGAGTCCACTAGCACCTTAAAGACTAACAAAATTTGTGGCAGGGTGAGCAGTAACTCATGAAACATACCCTGCCACTGATTTTGCTACTCTTCAAGGTACTACTGGACTCTTGCTCTTTCCTACTGCTACAGACAGACTAACAAGGCTACCCATCTTGATCAGATACATTCTGTGTCACTAATGCCAAATATCTTAAATACATGAGGATCTGCGTGAGGAGAAATGAACTATGCAGGCTCTGGTTAACCCTCTTCTCAAAAGAAAACCATGAGAAAACAGAGATTTTTTGTAAGCCAAATGTTTTTATCATGAGGTTTCAAAAAGCAGAGCAGATCATCTACATATCTACCTATTCCTACAGCAACGTTAAACATATCAGATTAAGAATTGAGAGATGTATCAAAGGCAGAAGGACAGGGTAACAAGTTATTCTAATTATTGTTGAACAAAATACCATTTTCAAGAGTGGCATACAATGAATTAGAACTTATACACCACAGTCAGAGAATTCTGCAACAGTGATCTTTGTCCCATTGCAGTTTGAAGAACCCCTGGAAACCTCCCCCCCCAAAAATTCACTGGACACTCAGGAATAGTGTAGGATACCATGTACACAAAAGGGTAGAAATATTCTCCCATACCCACAGTCCAAGCTCTTCTCCAAATCAAAGAGTTCATAAAAGGAGTTGAGAAATAAAATGCCTGCCAATTTCCCCCTTCTCATTGCAACACCCACATTTTATACCATAATGTTCCTGAGCACCCCTTGGATGTCAGGAGGAAGTTTTCTGGGTACAGGGGGCAGTAGTGAAAAGAGAAGGCAGCAAAGGTACCTTCCACAATTTGCTATGCTAACAATACAACCCAAGAACCTTTATCCAGATAAACTAATTGTGACCAAATGTCAAAGAAAACCTTAGCCAGCTATGAGTTACTTGTTGCACTGGTTTCAATGGCAGCCAGTCATGACAATGTTGAGCTGGAATGAGCATATGTGCTTTTCCCACAAACAACAATATTAGTTTTATCATCAGAAGTTTCATTGCTTCAGTTAACATAATATTACTGTACTAAACTTGAAACAAAGCAAGAAAGAAATTATTTACCTTTACTTTTAATTTGTATATATGAACTCTTGGGGTATTAGTATTCATCTCAGGTTTAGTTAAGATTCTAGAAATTCTCTTACTTTTTCCTATGCATTTTTAAACAAAAGCCATTATTACCACTGTACAAGAAAAATCCATCTCTCTCTCTCTCTAATATATGCCAAGTGGGCTTTAGAACAATTTCAAATATTTTTATTTACTGAAAAATGGGAGTAGGAACAAAAGGCTTCATGCTCAAAGAAAATATTTCTTTGGCAACTTTCCTTCTATTATAATTTGTTACTGCCATTTAAAACAAAAGCAAAAACTTCACATTAAGCAATGTTCATCCCTCTGACAGGAAGACTCTGAAAACATTTATTTCACTAACGATGCAGTATTTTACAAGTATCCACTTACCTGTGTCTATGGATCACAGCATTGAAGGCAAGTCCATCTGACCAGCTTGTGGTAAAGTTCAAAACATTGACCTGGCTATAAGGCCTAGTAGACTGTCTCACCCAGCTCAATAGGATTTTTTCACTGTTTGTTTGCTGCAAGTCTGACATGATATCTTTCATTACATCTTTGACCTGAAAGGAACACACACAAAAGGCCTTCAAGTATATATATAAAACAGTGGCCTAAAATATAAACATGTACATGATTTAGGCAGGCTCTTCAAATAGAATCGACCAAGCCTATGCACTCCAGCGAACAACTCCTCATGCTTTCCCGCTGTGTCTAAACCCACTTGAGAGACCTGTCTGTCCCCATCTGCAGTGTACCCCTACTCTCCTTTGCTTTTAACTTGCCCCTTGGCATTATGCTGCTTTCCATCCTCCCCCTATTCCTCATAGCCACACATTTGGCTATCCAGCCTGTTCTTTCCAGTACCCTAGAAATTTATGATATGCCCATCCAATCTTTTCCTCTCCATCGAATCTTCCCCCTTTTACCACTCTTCTTTTCCTTTCTTCTTTTCCTTTCTTTTCACTCTTCTTTTCCTTTCTTTGGGGATACCATATACACATTCACAGGTGGGTTCTGCTTGCATTAGCAATGGATGGGTAATTAAGCCAAAGTAACCATTTCCACTAGAAATTGTTCCTTTTTCTTCACTGACTTACGGATTTGTGTGATTTTAACTTCATGATCTGCCTCCCCTCCTTGCTTCCCTGTTACTATACACAGCAAATATTAATAGATATTAATCTAGTTATAGAAGTCTTCATCTCTGCATCTTATATCATCCCAACGGCACACTTGTTTATATACAGATGTATGATCTGCCAAGCTACAGATAGACAGCCAGTTACATGAATTTCCTCCTTCCATACTTCTCTTGGGTGGCAGTAAAAGTATGCCATATACCATCAACTGTCTGGCCTGTTCAGGACCTCCTTTACTTGCGTGTGGGGAAGGGCAATCTACATTTTTTGTCTTTATTTTACTACTGTTGATTGAGCACAGCTGGACTTCTCTACCTCACATACCAGGATTAGGATGTCACCTTGGTTCAAGTCAACATAAACTTGCTTTGTGCTACAAAGATACAGCAGTTTTTAGGAACCATTCATCCCACTCTTCAAATAAAATATGCAATACTAAGAAATCAAACTTGATTGAGTTCACTGAAAGCATGACTAGAAAATGAAAGTTGAGATTCAAGGTCAGGATGATTTCTGATTTATTTATGAATTTACAGTCAAAGATGGGATCAAAAGCAATTATAAAAATAACCTCTTTGGTTATGTTCAAGCACTACTGTGCACACATCAGAGCTCTCTCTCTCTCTCTCTCTCTCTCTCTCTCTCTCTCTCTCTCTCTCTCTGTAGCTACAAGATATATGATCCACGTTATAGGCAGTTCCTAGGCTTTCAGGACTGGTTGATTGCATGGCACAAGAAAATTGCACTTGCCAAATTCACCATATGGCCCTTTAGGTTACAGCTATAACACAAATTCATTATTCATGCAAGACTGAAAGAAAGCACCAGACTCCCTTACCTGCCAGTGCAAAATTATGCTCCACAGTAAGCCAAGAGTCAGTTTGTGATTTCCATCAACAATGTCAGTTCCTCCTATGTTCACCAGCTCCACCTGATATTAAAAGATCCATGTCAAATACTGCTGCTTAACAATTTTTAGTCCACATTATCCCTTGCCCATCTAAAGTATTTGTTTTTTATATTATTTCAATTTTCAAGCAAATGGTATAGATCATAGAACTTAACATTTTAATTGTGTTGTCTAAATCATGCACGTCCCCAAGCAGACATTCAAATTACACTTGCAAATCAGTTTTCATGAAAACATTTAAACGCAAAAGAAAAATCATTATGGCCAGGTCCAGCAGGCCACAAAAACTGTTACCAAAGGAAACTAGAAATATAATTTTGGTGAGCAACATGAGGAAGCTTCCCATATACCTCAAAACTAGATAATGCCAAAGTCAATAGGGAACCCTTAGTGTACAAGTATAGCCACAAATAACACCCACCAAGGGAAGACCATCCACAATTCACAACTATATATGCTCAAAATCATATATTACATTCATTAAAGTACAAAGCAGCAACTGGAAGGAACTGAAGCTAGCAGCAACTCCTGGATACCAACACGTGGAAGGAGAACTGTGGGACTAGTACAAGTGTAATGGAGACAATCGAAACAGCTGACAGCTGCTATCTGCTGCTACTACCTTAGAAGTGGTGGAGTATTCAGCCATAACTAAATGGATGTTAATATTAGTAATTAATTACTCTAATCTGGTTTAGGTCTTTGTAGTAATTAATAAATTGATTGATTGTAGTTATTAAGTTAGGTGCTCTTATTGTGGAATTTGAATCGTTAAGGCCGCCTATATTAATTTGTATATAATACAGTGATTGCTTTTATTGAGTAAATTTAGTGATTAGGAAATAAAAGAAAATAAAAAGAAAATAAAAAATAACATAAAATAAACAAAAATAAATAATATAAAATCTTATTTAAATTGAGGGAAGGGGGTGGGTGGGTAGCGGCCTTTATTTATTTATTTACTGGCCGATAACTGGCTTCATTGGCAATCATCTGTTTATTTGTGGTAGGATAGCCTGTATATTGGTAGTAGTAGTATTGTGGTTGCACATTTTATTGTACCATCTAAATCAAGCACTATATTGAGTGCTTCTATTGCTCTGCTGGTGGTCTGAAGCTTGCAGAGACTGCCGAGGGCAGTGATACGGGCCAGGGAATTCTGGTGCTCCTGGGGAGAGGAAAGTATAGTGGTGGGAGCAGGCAGAGTTTTATGCGAAGAGGGCAAAGAAATGGGAAAGCTCAGCCCTCTCCCAGCCTGCGTCCCATCCCGAGGGATGTTGGCAGTGGGGCTAGGAATTATAACCCCTCTCCCTGGTGTTGTGTAACGCCAGGTCCGTAAATAATAAGATCATGGTCCTTAGGGACTTTTTGCAACAGCAGAATGTGGACCTGGTGTGCGTGACTGAGACCTGGGTGAGGGAGGGGGAGACAGTGGCTCTCTCCCAACCTGCCCCCCCTGGGTTTTTGGTCCTTCACCAATCTCAGACTAGGGGCCGGGGGGGAGGAGTGGCTCTATTCATCCGGGAGGCTTACTCCTTTAGGGTGCTTCCGACTCCGAGGATCACGGACATTGAGTGTGCTGGCCTGGTTAGGAAGACTGGGCACAGTTTGGCGATCTGGCTGATGTACCGACCGCCTAATGCACCGGCCAATAGCCTGCCGTCCCTCATGGAGGCCATAGCAGGCTGGGCACTGGAACTCCTTAGACTGATTGTCCTGGGTGATTTCAATGTCCATGCCGATGAAGCGACCTCCACTCAGGCAATGGATCTGGTGTCGTCCATGGCGGCCCTGGGACTCTCCCAACATGTAATGACCCCCACTCGGGGGGCGTGGCATGCTTGGCTGAGAGGAAAGCCGCGTCGCGGCTGAGCTCCCGGTGGAAAGCTGAAAATAGTATAAAGAAATTCCTTCTTCTGGAGATAAGATTGTCAAAAACCAAACGCTGAAGACCTGTAATCTTGACTGTGGTAAGAGAGAGAGGAAAAAGAGCGTCTGGAATTTGGCAGTAAGACAAGCAGATAATTAAGGAGTGGAGTGGGGGAGAATTATCATGGCCTCGTCTGACTCTGAAGTAGAAAGGGAGGTAATGAGGCCGAAGGACTTTCAACTAGAAGTTAGGAAGGCCGTTGAAACAGCCAAACAAAGCATTACCAAGGCTGTTACTAAGATTGTAGATGAAAAAATATCTAAATTAGCAGATGCCGTGGAGTCCATGGCAGAGACATTAAATTGTACGTGGAAAATGGCTCAGGCGAATGAGAAGAAAATTACTATGCTACAAAAACAGTCCAGACAACTGGAAAAGCATAATGATACAGCTGATGAAGCAGGAGCTCAGACGGCTAGAGAGACGGTGGCATCGAACTCAAGACAAAGCATCAAGAACATCTTATAGGACGTTTATGAAAGCCTATGAGATAGGCAGCCAAAGCCGCAAAGAAAGTTTTCCAAGCGCCGCCGATTGCGTCCGCTAGCTCTCGCCCAGCCCAATTATTTAGGATGATTCGGTCAATAACAGCTCTGCCACAGGGCAGACCAAATGCTAGAGAATTGGACATTGGCTGTGAGGCTTTTACGAGCTATTTCGCGGATAAAGACTTGGTGCTCCGCCACAACCTCCCCACCACACTTGATACAGTGAGTGAGCTTGAGGACCATTGCACGTCTTCGAATTCGATCCTGGATCACTTCAGCCCTCTCAGTCTGGAGGAAGTTACAGTTTACTCACAGCTGTGCGCCCAACCTCTTGCAGTCTTGACCCGTGCCCCTCCTGGCTAATTAAATCTGGCCATGAGGGGTTTCGAGGGGCCCTAAGTGAGATTATCAACAAATCCCTCTCTGAGGGGCAATTCCCAGGGCACTCAAGGAAGCGATGGTCTGCCCTCTCTTAAAAAAGCCATCTTTAGACCCGGCCGAATTGGCTATCAGCCAGTCTCCAATTTGCCCTATCTGGGCAAGTTGATCGAGAGGGTGGTGGCGATACAGCTGCAGGGTTTTCTGGATGACGCTTCTGTGTTAGAATCCTTCCAGTCTGGCTTCTGTCTGGGTCATGGGACGGAGACGGTGCTGGTCGCTCTGACTGACGACCTCTGGAGGCATCTGGATCGAGGTGGAACAGCGGTACTGTTGTTGTTAGATCTGTCAGCTGCGTTTGACACAGTCGACCACCAGTTACTAGTCCACCACCTCTCCGACGTAGGGATTAGGGGGACTGCCTTGCAATGGTTTGCTTTCTTTCTTCAAGGTCAGGGACAAGGGGTGGCGCTACGGGAACAACAGAAGGTGGTGTGCCTCAGGGGCTGTGCTGTCCCCGATGTTATTTAACATCTACATGCGCCCCCTTGCCCAGATTGCCTGGAGGTATGGGCTGGGATGTCACCAGTATGCCAATGACACCTAGCTCTATCTGATATTAGGTGGCCAGTCGGACTCCAGCCAAATGATCTGGATGGTGCTTTGCAGGCCGTGGCTGGGTGGCTCAGACTGAGTTGGCTGAAACTGAATCCAGCGAAGACGGAGGTCTTATGCCTGCGTCGGGGCGGTTCGGGGGTGGGGATCCCACTCCTGATCTTTGGGGGGGCTCAATGGTCCCTGCGCCAGAGGTTCGGAGTTTGGGAGTGCTCCTGGATCTCTCCCTTACCATGGAGGCCCAGGTAGCTACCACTGCCAAGTCGGCCTTTTATCATTTGAGGCTGATTAGGCAGTTGGTTCCCTTCCTTGACCGTGCTGACCTGGCTACAGTGATCCATGCGATGGTCACCTTGAGACTAGACTATTCTAACGCTCTCTACATGGGGATGCCTTTGTTGTGGATCCGGAAGCTGCAGCTAGTGCAGAATGCTACGGTCAGGCTGTTGATGGGTCTCTCTAGATAGGAGCACATCCAGCCTGTGCTGAGGACACTGTACTGGCTGCCAATAGCATACCGAATCTGCTTCAAAGTGCTGGTTCTTACCTTTAAAGCCCTATATGGCCGGGTCCAACATACCTACGGGACTGCCGTTCCCCGTATATACCCCAGAGAGCACTACGGTCTGGGTCTCAAAATCGGTTGACCCTCCCTGGCCTGAGGGAGGCCAGGCTAGCTGGTACTAGGGCTGGGACATTTTTGGTGGTGGCCTCTACCTGGTGGAACGAGCTCCCGGAGGAGATCAGGGTCCTGCAGGACCTCTCACAGTTCCGCAGAGCCTGCAAGACGGAGCTCTTTTGCCAGGCATACAATTAGGGGCCGCCGCCACTGCCCTAGTGCACAGTCAGTAATGTTAACATCGAGCAGCTGCCCTAAGAATGAGCGGAATAACATCTAAACACTTTATGTGGAATAACATCAAAGCACTTTGTTGGAAAGCACTTTATTTGTTTGATTTTTAGCTGCCGCCAGTATTCTGATATTTTGTAATGTTCTATTTTAAATGCTGTGTTTTAATTTTGTATTATTTATGTTTTTATTCTGTATTGTTATGTTTGTTTTTGGAAGCCGCCCTGAGCCTGCTTTGCGGGGAGGGTGGGGTATAAATTTGACTATAAATAAATAAATAAGATGGGTTAGTGGTCATAACCCAATAGAATGTATAGACACATATCCAACAGATTGCTCATAACAATTAAGATTATTTATAAAACGAATGTGTTCAAAACCAACGATAGGCTCCTCTGTAATTCCATACATAAATAGTGTCCATAGACCTCCAAACAGAAAGTAACTGCAGCAGAAGGCACCCACCATGGAAAGAATAACAGCTGTACATCTCTCCCAGGAATAAATCAAGACGTTTCTATCAAGACATTCTGTATAACTCACAACAGCAGAAAAATATTCCTGAAAACTGCCACCAGTACAGGGAGACTGTATCTTTAAAAACCAAGAAAAGGTACACACACACCCCCTCCCTGCTCAACACATCTCCCCATAAAACATTTTTGCTCTACAAAGATACAAAAGGAGTACTTTTACTTTACTTCCTGATCCAGAGAGATGAGGCTTCCAATCATTGCTGATGTCTACAAACAATGGTAGTCTACCAAAGTCCATCTCCTCTCCCTTTTCCACTTTCATAAATATAGTACATATAGCCCAACTTCCAACAGACATTTTCCAACAGATTTTCTCATATAGAAAACGTCTGCCCTGCCCTTCCCAATCATCATGCAGCATTACAGACGTGGGACTATTGAGCCCAAGGTTCACAGTACCTTGGGTATGAGGAAAGTTGTTCTGTATAGTCCATTGTTAAGTGCTCTTGTGCAAGCGCCACTTAATTGGACAGATGTAATACAACAGATATAGTGCTGTATTTGAACATAGAAGTCCCATATTCAAATCCTAGCCTGTCATGAATATCAAAATGCGGTCTTTAACTGTATGTTATCTTACAGCCTAACTTATCTCTCCAAGAGCCATTAAACAATTTACAAAAATGCTGCAGATATTAATGTTTTCAGTGGAGATAACCATGAACTCTCAGTATTAGAATTAATGGGAATGTTGACTGTAGCCTCGTATTTATTTAAATATAAATAAATATTTAAATATAAATAGCGATAAATATATAAATAATTAAAGCAAAATATTTATTTGTACAAATACACAGTAATTTCATGAAATTTTGGTATTCCCATTAAAAATATTCAACTTTTATTACAAATGAAACAGTGAAGTAGAAATGAACTGTGAACAGCTAAAAACTGTGAAACTTTTGGCCCTTTGAAAGCACTTTTCAAGCCAAAAGTGTTCACATGCAAACATTCAATACAGCCTGATTCACAGCAAATATTCTGATTCCAAGTATTAGGGAGGTAATCACGTCCACCGAAACATTTTCATTAGAAAGCTCATTAGTGCAGAGTTTCTACTATACATCATCTGCTTGAATATTTGGTCACCCTCAGCAACCTAGTCTTTAGCCCATTTATGTTAATAGTTCATGTTCAAAATTAAATATTTGCCAGCTCAAGAAAACATACTTATACAGTAGCCTAGATTCCTTCTACCACATTTTCTAACAAGTAAAATTAATTTCGACAGAAGAAAGTCACTTGCCTTTAACAACACTACAAAAGTGCGTGCATGTGTGTGCGTGCAGTATAAAAGTAGACAATATTCTTACTTAAATAACCACTACCATGAACTACAGGCTGCAAAGTTTATAGAAAGTCTCATCTTTGGGAATTCAGGAACAAGAAATACAGGTTCACTCTAATTATAAATGAACTATCATCACAATTACACCTAAGTCTGGGAATTAAGATGTAGGCGTGTTGAATTTTATTAATTCTTCCCAGCTTCCAAGTTTTCAGAATACAGTTGAACAGGCCATTATGCAGCTTATGTTTATAGTTACAGCAGCATCATTAGTTTTCAGGGAAATAAATCAATCAGCAGATCACAAGAACTTACACTGTTCTGATGTAAAAGCTGAAGCACTTTATTGACATTGTTCAGGGCATGGACTCTGGTAGATCCACGTTCTTTGATCTTTAAAAACAAAATATATGCTGTTAAATAATTTAAGAATAAGTAAAAATAAGTAGGTTGAGAATTTTGCTTTTATTGTACACTGTTTAACAATCAGCAGTCAAGAAACGAAGGTCAAAAGAATCCCCTACTGAATTTCTGAATATATATTCAAAAACAATCTAGTTGGCTACATATCCAATTATTTTGCCCAAGCCATATGAAAATAATTCTGCAACTACTGCAAATTCTGCAAGCTACTGCAACTGTTTTGTTTTTTTTAAGTAATCATTCTAACAGAAATATATGAAATTTAGCTAGACATGTTCTGTCACATTATTTTAAAACTCACTGTTATAATCAAGAGCCTGCTGCTAAAGACTACAGATACACCCATTGGGGTGGTCTGGCATTTTTTCATTGAAAAGTAAGGCTCACTCCCACATGTCATATCACAAATTGATTTGGCTAGTCTCCTCAATTCTGAAAGAGTACTGCCATGTGGCTGCTGTTTGAAACAAGTCCAAATATCCCTTAGGCATATGAAACTAAGTGGATGATTCTTTGGATCCTAACCAAGAAATTTCCTGTTGGTGTTAAGATGCCATTTTTTCATCATACTTACATATATTTCTTTTTAAGCATAGTTTACATCTACATATTAAAGGAACGAAAACCATGCTACATACAAATTGAGGAACTGTCCCTTACGAGTGCTTGCACAAGTGAATCTCTCCAGACAGTGTGAGACAGTTTGCCTTTTCAAAAGAGATTTTTTAAATGAAGGAACTACAGTATTTAGAAGGCAATCAAAGCCTAAATTAGTAAGAGACCAAATTATCACGCAGTCATGGAAATAGCTTCAAATGGACACCTGTTCTTGACAAACTTCCAGCTTCATTTTTCTTTATTCTTAGCAATATTATCCACATAGTCACACGTTTGTAGTATGGCATGCCCTAGATTTTCACATATTATTTCATAAGATCTTAGACAATGCCCTAATTTACACCATACTTTGTACAACCTACTTAAATTTATGGGTTTG